CAAGTTGTGAAAGTCGGCACCAAGGTTTCTTAGAGCAGCCGTCCCTACTTTGACTGTTCGGTCAGGATGGGAGTCGTCTAATATCAGGTCCGCATGCTCACCAGCCGGCTGAGGGCGGAACTCATCCGGCCGGTCCTCTGCCAATGATTGCTATTTTCTTGCTTTTCTTGCGGACTCAGTCTGGAGTGCCTTTCTCTTTTTGTCGCCTGTTTCTTGAACAGGCGCACTTTCCTTGACATTGTCAAGGTCTGTTTTTTCTCCACTTGACCCAGTGGCCATAACAGTGGGCTTGACATCCGAGAGATAGCACTCTCGGGCCATCCTCTGATCTCCCCTAAGGGAGCCGACTGTTCCATTGTCCCTTTCAAACTTAAGCAGCATAAGTGACGGGATTATAACAGCCTTGGAATTATTCAGGGTTGGTCGACCCAGAATCATGTTGTAGGCAGAGAGTTCCTCTACCACTAGGAACCGGACTACCATGTGTCGTCCTTCCCCTTTTTCGCCCAGGCGGATGGGTAGATCTACTCGTCCCAGTGGGTGGACGACTCCTCCCCCAAACCCTATTAAAGGGTGGGAGGCTGGATGTATGCAGTCCGTCTGATATTTCAGTTTTGATAGACATTTGCTGCTGATGAGATCTGAAGAGCTCCCGGTATCTATGAGGATTCGACCAACTCTCAGGTTGGCCACTTTACATTCAATAACGAGAGGGTCGTCATGCGGCCCCCTTATTCCTCCTAGATCCTCTTCAGTGATGACAATCTCAGGAAATGTATATTTGGACGGTCGTTCTTGGTGAACGGAATTTACATCTAACCGCCTTATATTATCTTTGTTGCCCCTAATAGAGGGGCCGCCTCCTGAGAAGCCGCCTGCAATGGTGTAGACGACTGCATCATCTGTATCAGAACTGTCGGCCTGCTGATTCTTTTTGGCCGACTGCTTTTTTGAGGAAGTGTTTCCCGCAGATTTCTTGACATAAGTGTCAAGATCCCCTTGATCAGCCAATCGGTCTAGGTACCGCATGAGACTGATGCAGTCATTGGTGTGATGACCAATGTCATCATGATAAGCACAGATTTTGTCTTGGTTCCGGTTGCTCGCAGAACCCTTCATGGGGAGCGGCTTCTCAATTGAGAGCCGTCCCTTTATTTCTTTTAGGATAAACTGGTTATCCTTGTTAAACACATATTTTGGGGAGTATGGTTTGAATTCTTTTTTCTTTTTCTGGGCCGGCTGTTTAGAGGAATCAGCCGCCCAGACCCCTTTTCTTTTTTCATCCTTGTTGGACGACTGTTTCTGTCGTCCCTCTCTATTGTCGAACCTCTTCCCGTCCGACTGTTTCATCGTACACAGATCAGTCGCCTGTATATAGGCTTCTGCTTCAATCAAGGCCTCTTGAAGAGTCGCCACCCTTTTTCGAACTAAATCAAATTTGAAGGTAGACCCGTCTTTGAGACCTCTAAAAAAGTCAGTATAAGCTACCTCATCCGGTAACCCTTGAATCTGTATTCTCATCAGGTTGAACCGCCTGATGTAGGAACGAAGCCCCTCCTTTTCACCCTGCTGAATTGTTCCCAAATCAAGGGTCGTTTTCTTCGCAGGGATGTTCATTGCGAAGTTGGAGGCAAATAAGTAAGCAAGCGTCCTGAAGCTGTTTACACAACCAGTCGGCAGGTTGCCGAACCATTGCTGTGCAATTCCCTTGAGAGTCGCTGGGAAACACTTGCACCAAGTGGGATCATCCAACCCTTGAAGGTACATCAGGTTGGTGAATGCCATCAGATGGTCTTCCGGGTTAGTAGTGCCATCATAGGCGCCTACTAAAACATTTTTTACTTTGGCCGGCTGAGCGGCTTCAGTAATTTCCTTGGAGAAGGCCGACGGCTGTTCACCAAGTCTAAGCAGCCGTAGCTGCCAGTCCATAGGTTGGACGTTTTTTGCTGCAGGTCCACCAAATGGAGGTGGCTGCATAAAATACTGTTGTTGCGGCACAAATGGTAAGTTTGGTACCGCCTGGGCACTATGAAAGTCGGACTGACGGGAGGTGCCGCCTGACTGACTCTCATGGTACGACTGAGTTGGCCTCATCGAGGCGTTTCGCAAACTGTCCTGAAAATTTGAAGTAGAAGCCGACTCTGATAATCGGTCACTCTTCTTCTGCTCTAGCAGGTGCCGAGCATCTGTGAACGTTTGCTTTGACCCGTCCGCCTGAATATGACGAACCGGTTTCCTATTTCCCGTAGGGTAACGGAATTTTGTGAAATCAAGAGCAGACGGTTCCCGCTTCTTGGATTTAGGATGGGGAGTCGCCTCTCGCCCTTGAACTGGCTTCCTCCTCAGTGAAGTGGAAGGTTTCTTGGCCGACTGCTCTTTGACTGAAGCAGGCGGTTTTTTGTTGATCAACTCTTGGATCTCTCCCTTGAAGTCCCTCATGAAGGTCATGAGTTCGTTCCTTGTGATGGGAGCAGACCCATCAGTCGGCTGTTGCCGAGCAAGCGGTGCGCCTGCTGGCTCGCTTCCTGTTTGAAGATACTCCCGTTCCCTTATTTCAGTATGACGGGTACGGCGGGCCCTTAGGGTCCCGTCTGGAGCTGTATGAGTTTCAACTTCAAATTCACTTTCGGTATCATGGTCCGACTGAACTTGAGGGTCGTCTAGGGGACGCCTCTCTTCTGGAGTCGGTACAGACTTGGATGCCATCTCTGAAGTACTCTCCCCACAGACGGCGCCAAATGTTTCGGGGTTTTCTGATGTCCTGCGGGAGAGTTACAATTCCGAGACTGGAACCGGACGTCTGTACCTGCAAAATAACGGAGACTCCTGAGAGCTCCGCCTCCAACGGTCAAGTTAGTACCTGATTAAGGAGTAATCAATACAGAAAGTAAAGTAATGAGATCTCTCTAGGTGAGAGTGCTTAGTGTTGGTAATCTGCGTTGTTAGCGTGATTAGCCGGTTGTTAATAAGTCTGTTCTTCTCTGCTTGATCTCTTAATTATTCGGTTGTTTTTTTGTTCTCCTGATTAATGAGGATTAATCGAGTATTTATAGCCTTGGGAAGCGTGCAACTCTCTAGGCTTAAGGTAAACCTAGGGCTGATCGGGCCTCTAGACTGAAATGGGCCTTGATGGCCGGTTGTCCCACTTGGCATGGGTGGACACGTGGCGTGTCTTAAGTGGTCCGTGGAGGACGTATCTGTGACTGACACGTGGCAAGCTCCTGTTGGCCTTCGTGAAGGACACGTGGCGGAACCTGGTTGGTCCACTTGTCAGACGGTGATTGGTGGATAAAAATCCCCTAATCATGTTCCATTTCTATTTTTTGCACGATTCATTTTTTCTAATTTGACTAATGTTTGTGATTTATACATGAGAAAAAATATAGTCTTATGGGTACTTGTTGAAATCATCTCAATTAATAGATTATTAATTTTCAATTATTGGATTTTATACTTATTGATATATATAAAAAATTATTAGTGATAAAATATTAGCATCGGCATACGTATCCAAGAGAAATGGAGCAAGTATTTAAACGGAGGGAGTATAACACAAATAAATATTAAAAATATCAAGGACATTGTCCAATTGAACTCAACTTTTTCTGAAACCATAAATTTTAAAATATTTTCTCTACGGATTTCAAATTATCCCATCTTATTATTTTTATTTAATTAAGGTTTATAATAAGTGATAGATAAATTTGCTTATATTGTGTTGAGAACTAAATGATGTAGAATTGAATTCTGAATAAACTGATACGAGGCAATTTTGTTGGGAAGGTAAATGGGTTGATGAATTAGAAATAGAGTGGGTATATTTTATACAATACGGAGTGGCTTTGCTCGGCAATTTGGTGCCCCGCATCCTTCTCTTCTTCTATGTACGCGCCTTCGCTTTCCAGCTTTTGCCGCTGTTCTCGAATTCGATGGCTCTATTTTATTATTGTCAGTCCCTAGTAAATCCATTTTAGATATCTACCTAAAAATTAGTACCGATTTAGTACAATTTTTGAATGCTCTTAAACAAATTTCTTAGTGAATATTTTTTGTGGGATAGAGGAAATGTAGATCTCAAAAGGATTAGGATTTAGTGCTTTTGTAATATCCACATAATTTTTAAGTTGCAACATTTTGAATAAATTCTTTTTTCTTTAAGGAAAACTTTATTTAAGTTTGTAAAACAAAAAATCTACTCATCCCGTGTTTTAATAAGTGTTACAATTTGATCAAACACGCATGTCGAGACACGACTTTGAACATTAATTATCTAATTATATGGTTAGTAAAATTATATGAAATTTGATAACATAAAAGTATACATATAATGAATTTTACAATGTATAGTAACATTTGTGTTTTTATAAAATAGTAAATTAATCTAGTCAAAATTATTATGAAGTATATAATAGTGAGAAAAGTTAAAGTGTAATACTCAAGTAAAATAAGAAGGGGTTGCTCAAAAAAGTAAAATAAGGAGGGAGTATCAATTTAAGTTGGTAAAACTCAAGTTTTCTCTTTTAAGTAGATATTCTAGCTAAAATTAAAATTTTGCACAATATTTGTATTAGTTTTATATTTTATTGGATTTTTCTTTAACCGAATATAATTTTATCTCGGTATGGTTTACTAGTATCACGTTTGACGAGTAAACATAAGAAACCACATTTATACTACAATTGGTTTATGTTAACCCCAAATTAGGTCCACTTCCTATATTTAGTAAGGTAAATTTGAAATTTTCATATTACTTTTATTGATCCGAGCTAAGTCAAATTGTGTAAGAGAGGACGGCCCATCATATGCATAAATCTTGCTCCAAGAATCCGATGTACCAATGATGATTAATTTGGTCAATTGGCAGATAATAACATTGATTTAATGTGAGAATTATTTTTTTTTCAAAAAAAAAAAGTGAGAATTATTTAAAAAGCACTTAATTAGATTGATGCGAATTGTATTTATTATGTTAATGATTGAATTAATTAAAATTAAAACAGGGAAATAATGCATGCCATGTGGAAACCTCAAAAGTTCAAGTACATTTATCTGCTGGCCACACTCTATGTATTCACTCTAACACTTCCGTCTGCTGCGGCTGTCTACTGGGCCTTTGGTGATGAACTTCTCAACCATTCAAATGCTTTCTCTCTCTTACCTAAATCGGGTTTCCGTGATGCCGCCGTTATACTCATGCTTATCCATCAGGTTTAATTTTTTTTAATCTCTTTACATCTTTGTTTTTACGTTCAATATTGCAAGATTTGCAACAAATGATTTTCGTACACCTATTGTTAAAGCACGTTATGCTTTTTCAAAATATAATGATCTGTCAAAATTAATTTAAGGTATGCCAAAATTAGTTTATAGATAATTTGTTTGCGCCACCTTCTATAATATAAGTTTTACATTAGAGTCAAAGAAGTTCGTCAAACACAATATCTATTAATTATTAGTAAAACATAAGTTGCTGACATTACTATTGCGCACGTGTCGATTTCTCATTAAACACACATGGGAGGGTGTGTTTTTTTTTTGGTTGTTGTTGGGAAAGCTATCATGTTAAAAAAAATTAAAATTTAAATATTAGAAGTTTTTACATCTATTAACTATTATTAAAACAGAAGATGATGACATCATCACTGTCCACATGTCATTCTCTTAATAAAAAAAATTCCGCCTAAATGCAATTATGATGTCATTTTTTTTTTATGTTGGTAGAATTATCCTATTTAACATTTTTGAAATTTAAATATTAAAAGCTTCTATCTTACAACTAAAACCTATCAATTTGGATCTTTTGCCAAAATAGCTACTTTAGCCAAAATATTTACCAAAAAAATAGCTATTTTTAAAATGTAATTCCCAAACTAGCTATAACATTTTTTTTGAGGAAAAATCTAGCTATAACAATGTTTAATTATAGCATACTCTTTGAGTTTTTCCAAAAAAAAAAAAAAAAAAAAAACATGCTCTTTGAATTTGTTCATCATCTACAGTTACGTAAGCTACATATACATATGTAAAAAATAGTTTTTTATTCAATCAAATATGCAATTAAAAAATATAAACAAGACAGTATGCATAATTATAAATTACAGGATGATGAGAAGTATCTAGCTTTAATCAAAGATTAAAATGTGGGTATTGGATCAGTTGAAAACTTGTAACAAAGTGGGAAGGTTAAACCTAATTCCAAATAAAATTGATCGATTATATTCAATAGTGTTTTTTTGTTTTTGTTTTTTTTAAAAATCAAATAAATTTTCCTGCAAAACCAGTTCGAATGAAATGAGGAAAAAGAATAATGTTCCATATCTTTTGCATTTTTTAATCAATATTATAGCTAGTTTGGGAATTAATATTTTAAAATAGCCATTTTGGTAAATATTTTGGTTAAAGTAGCTATTTTGGTAAAAGATCCTATCAATTTATTGAAGGAAATTGAAACAATTTTTAATAACACACTAATAAACGATCTCCTTTATTGAACTATGAATTAGACGACGTCGAACAAATACTATCTATATCATAGTTTTGATGAAAATAAAAGATTTTAAATTGCAAAATGTACGTAATTCTTATTTATATTCATGTATAATAGCGATTTACTATTAAAATGTACAAATTAAAAATAGGTTTTATATAAACCATGCATCGCACAGGTTCTAACCAAGTTACAACTAAAATCTATCAATTTATCGTAAGAAATTGGAATAATTTTAAATAGCACACTAATAAATGATCTCCGTACTATGAATTAGACAATGTTAAACAGATACTATATCATAATTTTGATTAAAATAAAAAATTTTAAAATTTTAAAATTACAAAATATATATAATTCTTATTTATTCATGTATAATAGCAATTTATTTTTAAAATGTACAAATTAAAAATAGGCTTTATATAAACCGTGCATCGCACGGGTTCTAACCTAGTAATCATATAACTAATATATAAAGCTAAACTTTTAGCCAGGCGACGAGAAAGCGACACTTGGCGTTTCAACTTTTCGCCAAGTGTCGCGCCACGTAAGATAAAGTTATATAAAATTCAATTTGTAGTATAAAAAATTAGTTTATAATTCTATTTTCAGTTAAATTTGGATATAATTTTAGGATAAAATTGTTAATTTAGAGTTTTATTTTTGATAAAGTATCAATATTTCATAGGTACAAATTGAATTATTATTTTATTCAAAAAATAATAAGATTATAACTCTCATAAATTATCATATAAATTTATTTTGTGTATCATAATATTTTTTTCGAACGAAGGAATTAGTTCAAAATGCACCACATCCATTATTTATAATATATTCTAATCAATTTGAATAATATATACTTCATAATATAATATAATTTTATTACTAAGTGTAGAGCTGTCATTGTCAATCGAGTCTGGTCACCAGTCATTTCAAACAGGGTCATTATTTCAGGTTACGGGTTAAGAAATATTTTTCACCAATATTATTATTATTATTAGTCATTAATTACATGTCTACTACATAGTTTAAATTGTCACAAAAACACATCAATTCCTAACTAATTTTGTATCAGTGATATATTTTAAAAATTGACATATAGATTAAAAATTTATCTTAAAATTCAATAAATAACCCGGGCATCGCACAGGCACAAAACTAGAATTCAGAAGATAAAAAAATGGTTTGGAATTCTATTTGGATAGAATATTAGGATAAAATTGTTAGTTAAAAGTTTAATTTTCGATGAAATACCAATTTTTTAGATGTACAAATTGAATTATATTTTATTCAAAAAAAATTATTAGATTATAATTCTAAAAAATTATCATATAAATTTACTTTTTTATATCATAATATTTTTTGGAGCGAAGGAAGTACTTCAAGAAGTAAAACATACATTTATAATATATACTAACCGGTTAAAATAATATAGTTCACAATCTAATAGAATTTTATAACTATGTAGACCTATCAATTAGGGTCGGGTCATGAGTAATCTGGGATTGAGTCATTTCAGGTTACGAGTCAAAACTTTTCAACCCTTGCCCAAAGTTTTGGGTTCGAATCAACCCAATGAGATTTGAACATTTATTTAATTTAATTTATTTTTTGCTAATTTTTAATTTTTTTATGTATTAAATCGAACATTTCCACTAATATTAATAGGAATTACATGTCCACTAATCGTCACAAAAGCACATCAATTCCTAACTAATTTTATATCAATGATATATTTTAAAATTTGATATATATAGAATAAAAATTTATCTTAAAATTTAATAAACAACTCGGGCATCGCACGGGGCACGATACTAGTATGTTATAAAAAGATACTTCTTTTGTCCCCGAAAGAACGTTCTTTTGAGTTAAATTTCGCGGGAATTAAGAAAATTAAATAAAAAGAAGTGAAAGTGTATTGGAAAGATAATTTTACATGGAGTTTGTAAAAAAGTAGAGAGAGCAAAGATAATACATGAAAAAATAAAATTTTATATGAAAAAACTAATTTTAAACAAATATTATTGTAAATTGGTGAGTATTTTAATGCAAATAGTCCAATCGTTTTGAGATTAAAAATTAAGTCAAAAGGGTCAAAATGAGACGATGAGAGTAGTAATTATTTAAGAAAGTTCAAGTCATATCATAAGGACAACTAAAGTTAAGTAATTATAAAAAGTTGTATATTATGGGTGAAGAGAATAATAATTGTTTAATACTGTGAACTCATTTGTTCCCCAATTTCTGTTCTTTGTCTGATTATAAAAAAATATCATTTTTTTTTTTATAATAAATGTTGCATGTCATTTCGAAATAGCTAATCAATTATCAATTAAAAATAGCAAAGCAACTATTACTTTTTGTTACAATGTAATGATGAGCAACTATTGATTAAGAATGGGGACAAATGAAAGTAGTTAATTTGAAGATAAACTATAATATGATTAATATCGATAATAAAGTTTATCTAAGTTTGGAGAATGATTCACGTAGTACCATACAAACTATTATCATTCAAAAAAAAAAAAAAAAAAAAATTAAAAATTAAAAAAAATAAATTAAAAGATGTAATTAAATAGTTAAATTAAACTGTAATTACAAATACACACTTAAAAAGTATGAATGGGCTAATTAAAATCATTTAAGATTATATTGGAATCAATTTGCTACCTACAAGTGATTAGTGAAAAACTTAAATGTAATTTTATACATTTAGTTTAATAATTAAATTAACTTATTTGAAGAAAATAATTTAGAATTAGTTCAAGCTATAGTTTAATCATGCCTAATTAATTAATATTTCATTTGTTATTGTTCCATTACGATATATACCCTAATTTTTTTTTTTGATTTTCATATCATGATAAACTGCAACATTATACGGAAAAATTATCAGGAACTACCCGTCTAATAGGTCATTTTGTCAACAACTACTCTGTTAAAAATTTTATCAAAAAAACTAAAATTCGGCCACACTTGTCAGATTTTGTTGCCAGAAAACCAAAATGGGTAGTGCTACTCAAACTTTTTAAATTCAGTGTGTAGTTTATTTATAAAAACTTTGAGCGGGTAGTTGTTGATAAAATGACCTATTAGGTGGGTAGTTCTTGACAATTTTTCCGCATTATAATTTGGTTTCCTTATTCACTGGTCGAATGCTAACTAATGGATTGAGTGGTCCATGCATCTCTACCATTTTCCTAAATTTTCATTAATTTGTGTGATTACCAACACATATGTTGTTCTAAATGAAGCAACAAATAGTATAAAAGTAATTGATAAAAATTTTCCCTAGTTAAAACAATATTTTGTACTCCCCTTTATTTATTTTTTATTTTATTTTTTATTTTTTTTTACCGTTCTTGTTTTGACTTTCCATTGTCAGACTTTAAATTTTTTAACCAAAAATTCTCATTAATACATGTAAATTTAGATTTGTCAACATTTGTTTTTTTTTTCTTTTATAATTGTAGTTAATAATACTTCATTAAAAACATTATTGTAATAGTCAAATGTAAGCCTTATATACCGTACAAAGTCAAAACAAACACAACAAAAAGAAACAAGTTTACATTTGAAATACATCTTGTTTTAATTTTCGATCTTTTTTATCTTCAATTTATTTTATTAAACATTGAGCTATGTTTTCTATCAATTAACCTAATCTAAATTATCAAATTGTGCACACTTTTGCAGTTCATTACATTTGGGTTTGCATGTACACCATTATACTTCATATGGGAGAAAGTGATTGGAATGCATGACACAAAGAGTTTATGTTTGAGAGCTCTAGTAAGGCTTCCAGTGGTGATACCAATTTGGTTTTTAGCAATTATATTCCCTTTCTTTGGGCCCATTAATTCTGCTGTGGGTGCCCTCTTGGTTAGTTTCACTGTCTATATCATCCCAGCTCTTGCCCATATGCTCACTTATAAAGACGCCTCCGCAAGAAAGGTATTATCTCATTTTCTTTTCAAAGTATAGTTATGAATATCCTTCACTTTAATGCAACTAATTATTTCAACCAACAAGAGTATGCGTATAGCCTTGTAATAAAAGTAATCTTATGTTTTATTAAATATTTGAAGTTGGTGCATCATAATAATTATACTTTTAATTACTGATATCTATTTGAAGTAAATAATAGTTTACTAGAATGCACCCGTATAACCGTGTTAACCTAAGTAATGTATCATAATGCTTTATAAAAGTAATGTACCCGTGGTATAACATTATTGCTTATACAAGACATTTTTTTTAAAAAAAAACTTCCCCTTAGTTTTCTAAAATAATTAATCTATTTATTGACTGATGATAAAATATACTTGCTCTTTCCTAATTTAGTGTGTCCCTTTATCTTTTTTTTATTTGTCTTAATTTAATAGCTCCTTTTGGCAAGAGATTATTAATGTTTAAATATAAAAAATGATCTACTATTTTATAAGTATTTGAATTTCATAGAGAATAACAATGGTAACAACGTCACAATTTTATATCGCAAAAGAAAGGGACACACTTTAATCAGCTAGAACAAAGAGGATTAGAATTTGCTATATACACCCGAGTGTACCATATACCCGGGGTAATTTGCTCATGTAATCAACAAATAAGCATATAATATTCTTACTCATTTGTTAATTAAATGAGCAAATAACCCGGATGTATGATACACTCGGGTGGTGTAAATAACAACCTATCAAATTGTTTTTGGTGAAAGGGATATGTGCAATCTACAAGTAAGCAATTGATAAAATCATTCAAGAATGAGAAGTGGAATGAGCTGGTAAGCGACCCGCTTTAGTTGGGGATTCTTATTCTAATGTTCCCTAACCTCAACAGTAGTTTGATTGGGCATTTAATGACTGTGAAATTTATACAATTACAAAGTGATAGGAAAACATGTGAAAGTCAAAACTCAAAAAAGATATATGGAGTAGATCCAAGGAAAGAAAGGGCTGTCATCTTCATTTAGTAATTATTACTCCATTATCAGATATGGTATCTACATGATCAGATTGGTCTCATATCTTCTGTGAGCTGGCATTTTTCGACTTTTTCCTATTTACTAAGTACATATACTTTTTTTATTTTATTTTATTTTATTTTATTTTTTATTTTTTATTTTTAAATTTTTTTATAGTTGCCCATAAATCTCAATCGATTTATTACATGTCACCTCATAAATACCATATATCAATAAGATTTTGGCTCTTAATGAAAGAACTAAATCTTACTGCGTATCTTTAGAGATTTTGGAGTAACTACTAATTTCTTTTTTTTTTTTTTGTAAAATACTTTTAGAAAAAATTACAAGTTGATCATTTAAATTAATTTTAAGTCTTTATATTTCTATTTTTAGCTTCATAAAGCATGAAATTAGTTAATTTATAGTCATCTTTTACATGTATAGTAATATTTTTTTTATCACAAAATAATTTAATATTTGTATTTTTTTTTTTTTGAAAACAATTTAATGTTTGTATAAATCTAATATTTATAAATTAAACTTAATAATTTTTATATAAATAATGTAAAATTCAATGTGATGTGCTTATTTAACGTTATAGGAAACTGTGAAAGGGAAGTGTTACTTTCATTTGGAATTTGTTTTGCACCATTTTAAATAATGTAAGCACCAAAAATCAGCTTTTTGGGTCAAAAGTTTGACCAAGTCAGCCAGTTTTAGTTATCCTTGTCTCCTTCTCCATTTGTTCTTGTTTTGTTTCTTAACAAACTAGCAAGATACTTGCATAAAGAGCAAGAAAATAATTTTATAATTCTTTTTGTTGTTGCAGAATGCTGCAGAGAAACCTCCATCCTTCTTTCCAAGTTGGGCAGGAATGTACGCAGTGAATATGTTTATAGTTGTTTGGGTATTGATAGTAGGATTTGGTTTCGGAGGATGGGCTAGCATGACCAACTTTGTAAGGCAGATTGACACATTTGGACTCTTTGCTAAGTGTTACCAATGTAATCCTCCACCAACACATCCTTCCAGTGCTTCTCCGCCACCTCTTCCTCCACGGCACTGATCGATTCTCCTTCCTCAAATGCATGCATCGAGCGAGCACTCCCGTGGTAGACAACTACAAGACAAAAAAATTGGGTATTAAAAGACCAACTCAACCAAAAGTTTAAGTTGATGGTAAGACCCTGAAATATATTTTATACTTTATTATTGGGTTAAATCATTCTGCATTTTGTAACATACTGGGAAAAATGAAACTGTAGCTATATTTTGTCTATTATTATAGTAAACAATGCTTTGGTTTATACTTTTTTACTTGAATTTTATTTTTATTTTTATTTTTTTTAAGGATTTCTTATTTAATTTAAGGGATTAGAGATCAATCATGGAGTGTGTTGAAGAATATTTAGTTTGATAATTTATTCAAAGAAATAGAATTAGTGGTAAATGAAGTTTGAAGTGTAAACTATAACTTTTAATATTAGCAAGTGATGTTCGTTGTTTATTTGTCGTTGTATTTGATCAAATGTTATAAACTCTTAAAATTTTCATAATTACCAACCATGTTAGTAACAGATCTTCCATTATTAAATATCTTCCATGTCCTCATTATTATTTAATTTTCCTAAGTTTGGAAAATGTCTACTGAAAAAAAAAGTCTGTAAGAGTAACATGGTTTGATCTTAGAGTGAGGGGATGAACATGGAGTCTCTTAATGACCTTATTTGCCCTTTGATATTTAATTTTTTTTTCCAAAAACATAATATGGGCGAAGTGTCGAAGTGAAGTGCGGCGGGACCCTTGTTAGTCCATATCACATGGGTTGCACGTTGGCCATCCACTCTTCCTATAATCAATTGATCACATGTAATTCATAACTCCATGTTGTATATATGCTTAAGATTTAGGGAAGAAGATTTACGATTTTATCTTCTAGTTATGTGGCTTATGGAAACTAGTGCATTAACTTCATTTTATTACAACGTTCAAGTTTTATATTGTCAATAAAAGTATAGAAATTAACGAAGTATTCCCTCCATCCCTAAATTACATTTCTGTTTTTCTCTATTATGTGAGGAATAAATGCTAGAAACAGGAATGTAATTTAGGGACGGAAAGAGTAATATTTATCGCGCTTATAAATATTTTTAGCAAGTTATATATGCACCATGCGATTGATTGTATCTAACAACCGTAATAAAATTTTTATAATAATGCAAAATTTATATTCTACATGTTTTCTCTTTCCTTCATTTTCTTTGTAAAAACGAACGAAGACATGAATCTAGTCGATCTAATCATTTGATTGAACAATTAAAACCACATTATATACCATTCAACACCGTTGTGTAGTAGTTTATAAGTACTAAATGCATAAACACATGAATCATATTCATAAAACACCTATCCCAAAATCGCATGCATAACGCACAAGACATATAATCATAACTTTGAAATGTGATCTCCACGAAATTATTCAAGTGACAAATCAGGGAGAGAATAGAGCCCCAAGTGTTGCCCTTCTACTTAGTCCACGGAATTCGAACGAGCCATCCACAGGGGCGAAGCCAGGTTTTTAAACTTAAGGGGGCCGAAATTTATACTTTGTATTATTTAATAGTATTGTATTATTAATTATTATTTCATTGCATTATTTATGGTTGTGCACTATTATAACTTTATAAGTTACTTTTGATCGTATTTTAACTAATCCCTTTATATATTTTTTGAGTTGGAAAAACTAGTTATATGAAAGATGTTAGGATAAAAAGAAATATAGGGAATACTAATGAATCAAAGAAATGTACGTATAAAAAAATGGTGCAAAAAGAAATAAGTAGGATAAAAAAAAAATATAGGGGATGTTTCAAAAAAAAAAAAAAGAATGAAAGAAATATAGGGGAAACTAATGAATCAAAGAAAGGTATAAAAAAAAAGTGCAAAAAGAAGTAAGTAGGAGGAATCGAACTTAGGACCACTGCAGTAAAATGATAATCTCACAAAGTCCACAACCATTGAACTAGGACTAGCTTAAACCCCACTGTGATCATACACTAAAGTACAGTGGCGTTCAAAGGGAAAGAAGATAGAGCAAAAGAGTCACCAACAAGTTTTAGGAACTTGTAAACCGTTCACAGGGTGAAGGTTACACTCCTTAAAGAGATTGAACCTGCCCCAATATTAGGCCACTAATTTATTCTGATCGTATTCATGTGCGCTTTTTGACTAACATGCAATCAATAGGTTTACCCTAAACCTGTTTATCTATGTTGGTTGAATATTAATGCACAAATAAAACTATTACTGGCGATCACTTGAATTATAATGAAATTAATCCTAAATAAGATTATTAATTATCTTTTTAAGCGTGATTACAAGTACAAATTCCCTTTAAACATGCATAAAAGGCGTGATCAAGCAATAACAATAAAATATCAAGCAACATAATAATAATAACAATAACAATTATTATCATAATAATAAAAATAATCATGTTAAAGCATAAAAGCAAGATCCTAGGCATGATACTAACAAGATTAATAACAAACCCTAGCATGTCACTAAGTAATAAAGATCAAATATTTAACCCTAACATGATACTAACAATCATAAATATTAGGAAGAACATAGGAAGCATCATACTTTTAATCATACTTGATATTAAAGTTACCCTAAACATGATACTAGGAAGATCAAAACGCCCTAACATAACATTAGGAATCATAATAACAACCTAGACATGATTTCTACATCATAATATCAATAAAAACCATTAAAGCACTTACTTGGATGCCTCGTACCTCTTTCTAATAACAAAATACACGCTTTAGTAACTTCAAGGAAAATAATAAACAAAAATTAAATTAAATAATTGAAAGAGAGATTAGACTAGATTTGGGACCAAACCCTCAGAAATTAAAACCTTTCACGTCTAGGGCAAAGGCAACTTCGAACTTGGCTAGGTGTATTTAGGTCTTGTGAATGGGGAATTTTGTAAAAAAGGTAGGTTTAGAAAAGAGAGAGAAAAGCTTCTAGCTTTGAGAGAGAAAGAATTAGAAAGTTGATGATTCTAGATGAATGAAAACGGAGTTTTTAGGAGGCTATATATAGAGAAAATCAGCCAAAAAGATAGAAAATCGAACCAGAGTTCTGACGCGAAAAAACGAGGTTAGCGCCAGATGCTGACATTAGCGCCAGGCGCTAATGCTGGTGTTTGGCGCTAATTAAATTTTTGACGCGTTTTCTAAAATCAGATAGAATTTAACCGTACAGGAGGATAAAATCGTATTTTCCTCAAAAACATTCTTTTATTCTGATTAAAACTCTAAAAAGTCAACAAAGGTCAATTTATCAATGCTAATTGAATTAGGAATGAAAAAAACCTTCTACAAGAATCTAGAAGACTAAAACCATTCCTAATTGCATTAGGAATGATAAATCCATATTAGGCCCTCCCCTAGATCATTGGGCCGCATATAAGGCTCAAACCAAGCCAGTTTAGTAATTTCCTCAATATTCATCCAAATTGGGCTTATAATATATTGCTGGAAATCTCTTTTCAAACCATATCCAAATACAATATTATTGGACCCATATCATAGACCAACCAAACTGGATTGACTGTTTTCTTAAAATAGGTTTTCAAAAACAGAGAGAAGAGAAAAGAAACTAAAACTATCCGCAACATTAAACTTTCTACACTTTCACTTCATTCGATTATAATTTGACGTGAAAGGTACTCATCACCGGGTTTGGTTTTGGGGAGACACAAATGGGTGTCTACAGAAGATCCCACTTTGACTAAGTTTGGAGAAACGCAAGTTTCGAAAACAAAAGTCAAAGTATCGATAGGGACGGAGAATGATTCAGAACGTTCTGCGATCCTAAATAATTCTTGTAATGCCGATACCTGCAAACTAGCATTATTTAAACAGATAAAAGAGTTATGAAACGCATATCTTGCACCGTCGAGCACATGTCTCCGGAGGTAACCGATTTGTTGTGATGATCTTCCGCAAGCTAGAGAATACCGCCTGAAGACTGCTACGCCTGTAACTACCTCCTATTTCCGCTGTGATAGTCTTTAAAAAGATCACTGCCTGTTGATCCTTAATGCTGCTATGCCAGTACATTGGTGCTTTGCTGCTTGTGAACCAATATGTTGGTGCTTTTGCTGTGATGACAATCCTCTTTTCTTTGGGAATAGTTGCTAACACAACTCTTGTATGATGTATGACAATCCAATTTAGGGAAATTTATCAATGCTACGTAACAATCCATCCTTGGAAATGTTGCTACGATGAAGCGACAATCCGTATCTCGGAAAATTTGCCAAAATTAAATTTTGGGAAAAGTTGCCAATGCTTCGTAACAATCTATCATAAGAAATTTGCTACGATCGACAATCCACCTCTTGGAATATACCTCTTGAAAGAAATCCACCTTGGAAATTTGCCAATGCTAAGCGACAATCCTTTTAGGAAAATATTGCCACAATTGACAATCCGTGTCTTGGAACATTTGCAAAAAAAGAGTAAATCGACAATCCACTTCGGGAAAATTTGCCACTTGCTGAAATGAATGACAATCCACGTTGAAGAACCTTTGCCGAAATTTATGTTGAATAGAAACCTACAACAATCCTTTGGAAAATTTTGCCATAGGGAACTGGGTGTATGACAATCCAATCTCCGAAAACTTGCCAGCGATGACAATCCGAACTTGGAAAAAATTACCAAACAGAGAAGGAGCACGACAATCTACGCTTGGAAACTTTGCTAGAGATGACAACCCAATCTTGGAAAAATAATCGCTGAAGAAGATGCACGAAAATCCATTTTCGGAAATATTGTCAATTAGGGGTGACAATCCAATTTTGGAAAAATTGTCGTTCAAGAAGAATGCGCGACAATCCATATTTAGAAATATTGTCGTTTAATAAGAATGCGCGACAATCCGTATTTGGAAATATTGTCGTTTAAGTGCTTGCTTTTAAACCGATACGCTGGTGCTTGTAATGAACCAGTGTTTTAGGCGCTTAGGCTAAGTGAGACTATTTTTTGTCAGGTCAATCAATTACTATAATTGTAATCGAGCCGACTACTAATCATGCCAATTTGCTTATAGGGGCTAACTGGCGTACCAAGGAACCCAAAATTGCTGTATGAGGTCAAAATAACCATTCTAAGAGGCTTCGAGCTCTGTCGCTGCTGAAATATCTCTGGCTTCAAGAATTGGCTCTGTCACCAGACACTGGGATCTAGATTCAGGCGCTGAACTCTGTTTCAGATGCCATATGTTGTTGCTAGACGACAGCCTTGTCGTCTAGTGCTGGAGTCGGGTCTTCCCTATTCGGCTCTTGCTGCCGCTGTTGCTTGGTTTTGCTCCGAACTTTTAGCTTGGTCGTTTCCTTTCAACCAAATCCGCTCAAATATTTTGTAAATTAAAGCTCTTCATCTCTAATTTACTGATCCATGTAACTCCTCTTATCTTGGAGGAATCTCCTGTGTCATATTT